ATCCACTGTGCACCTAGTGGTTTGGCAAACTGTGAAGAATATCACATTGCTATACAGAAAGGCTGATCATGAGCAGAAATGATTCTATTTTTTGTAGGCACATTAAAGACTCCTTCTTTAGTCCCAAGGGCAGGTTTAACAGGTGTAATAGTCTTTTCATGACTGCCTGTTGAGGTCTTTTAAAATGGGTCATTCACTGATGGCAGTTTTAAATGGCTTTGTTCTGTCTCAAAAATTGTATTGTTTCCATTGAGATTTATCTTTCAGGTTTTCCTCTTGACCTTCTTGCATTCAGTGATGTTCCTCTGAGAGCTATCCTGATGTTTCCCAGAATGGAAATATATTTCAATCCTTGTGGGAAATCTTGAATATCAATTCATCAGTGTGAAAATAAGTTCATAAGACTCCTGCAGCATTAACTTTGTAGTACTGAGGCTAATGATTTTTCTCCTCAAAGAGCCCAAGAAAACAGAGAATTTTTTTCATCTTTTTATAGGTATAGAGCTAAAGCACAGATTGCCTGAATTGTGCAAGGTTATGCAAAAAGTTTGCAGCAGAGCTGGGAAGAGAACCTTTATCTCTGGATCACATAAAAGATTCTTTATTCCGTAAGAACATCTTGCCTTGCCTAGGCTTTTTTTAATGGCGTTGCTTCATAGTGCTTTTATAAATCAGCTAATCTTTAACAAATAAGATCACATAAGGATTTTTTGCAAGTGGCTGATTTCACTATTAAAAATCAAGTCAAGCTTATGGCATTTAATAAGACAATGCATGAAATTCAATTTTACTAGAGAAAGTAATGAGTTTTTTGAAGAAATTTTCTGTCTGCTCCTCAACCACAAAATAATGGAGGATGTTTTTTAAATCAGAAAATTGAAAAGAAAGAATTTTAGGGAAAAGGATGATGGAGACTTGTACTGTGTAAGGGAATATTAGCTGTATTTGCAGGTGGGATTTTCCTTAAAATGAGGCAGTGGTATTTCCACTCAGATTTAAGAGCAGTTATCATGAGATAGATAATACTTTGCAACTGTGAAAATCATAATATACTGAAACAGAAGGTGATTTTGCACCCTACTGAAAATCTAAATCAGCCCTTCTAGGTGTCAAAATGTGACTGTTCACTTTTAATAAAGGGGACAAACCAGTTATTGATATTCTAATGTGTAGGAGTTGGGTTATTTGGAGGGTGCTCAGGAAAGAGTAATTTTAAAGAAAGTGAATGCTCACTTTGCAAATGGTGGCATACCTAATACACTGTGCAGGGACAATGGGCACGATACTTTTGCAGTGAAAGATGTCTTACATGTGTACTGTGAAGTCATGGAAAGGCAGAGGTGGCATCTGGGATAACTGAAAGAATAATGGAGAACTGAGGACAGGGAATACCACCTGACTGTCAATATCACATTATTTTTCTAATATAGCTGGCCAGAGGCATCAAACAGTTGTTGGAACTTGAGCTATGTCTTTGACTGCCAGGTAGCATCAGACTAACAGAAATAAGGCACCACGAGGAGCCAGGCTGAGCAATCAGTCTGCTGTAACCCAACAGCCAAGGACCTGAGGTCACTCAGGAAGAAGCAGGAGCAGGGCTGCTTCCTCCAGGCATGCAAGCTGGGAGCTGAAGTCAGGCTGTGCTGGGATGCAGAGCCTGAATGCAGCAGGCAGAATTGGCCCCAGGCATGGTAAAGTGATGAACCAGGTCCAGGGTCCAATCAGAGAGCCCAGTGAGGAGGCGGGACCAGAGACAGGACTAGTGACAAGGCTCCAGTGTGGCTCCAAGCCCACTTAGGAACCAGGGCCAAAGTTAGGGCTGCAGACCTGCTACGGTGTATATATGAGGGATCCATCCAGTAGCTGGAGTTGGATATAAGGCTGTGCCTACAGCACAGCTCAGGTGGGGACTGAAGTCCCAGCCCTGAGCTCAGCTTGAGCCCATGGGCAGGGTGTGCGTGGAGACCCCAGGTGAGGCTGATCAGGGTCATTCAAGGCCATTCAAGGCCTATTGGTGCACTCATGTCTCTGACATTCATTACAGGCAGGTTGTCCTGGTGGATTCAAGAATGCAAAAGAATAGCAAAAAACTGTATTCTAGGCTCTAGGTTGTACCTGGTAGCTGCAGATTAAGGACAGCAGTGAAAAGAAAACCAGCGGACCTGAGGAATAGTACAAAACCATGGGGATCTCAGGTCTAGGTCTGGAATGTGTCCTGATCATCATTGGAAATGCTTCAAGAGAGTGAGAAGAGAGAAAGGTATTAGAGTAACACAAAGACTGACAAACTGTCTCTTGCCAAAGTGAAGGCAACGGCAAGGCTGAAGGCTGTCTCCCACCAACAGCCAAAATTCCCGGTAAGAGACTATTGTGAAGACCAGCATGCTTAAGAAGTAAGAGGCTTACTTTGTCAGAACAGGGAGATAGCCTTTTTTTTTTTTTTCTGATTTCGGTTTAGATTTTTAGGAATACACTTCTATAAACCACTTTGAATTGTTCACCTGATTCCTTGTTTGTCATTGGACAAATCACTTGGGCCTCCTATCCTTCAGCTTTTCACATATGGAAAAAAAAGGAGGCATAACACTCGCTACCCTGCAGTCTAAAGCACTGTAAGATAAAAGCCATGTGTTTGAGATTTTAAGAAAAAAGTTTCCATGAAGTTTTCTTTTATGATACACTTACTAAAATCAAAAGATACATCACTAAATAATGAATTCCTGAAATTCTATGAAACAGTGTGGCTTAACAACCAAATAAAGCAGATAAAAATTGTTATAGCAGCATGGAGAGTCGATATTTATTAGTTCATGTTTCTCATCTCTTTCTACCTTTCAACTTTTATATCCTTAAATTGTATCTGCATGCTTTGTGAAACACTGCCAGATTTCATCAGCACCACTTTGCTTTCCATTTTGTTTCATTTTATATTTCTATTCTTTGGAAGACATATAAAATAAGATTACTTGTGTGCTCTGAGTTACTTCATGACAGACTGTTTTGTTGGAAGAGATTAAAATGAACTTCCCCTCCTTTTGTGAATGAAATGTTGGCTTCAGAAAGAGGAGTTTAAACGGGACATTAGCAGTGTGTGAGTTTAGGACTGATCTTTCACTTAAGCTCAGTTTTTGTTTGCCCAAGAATGTGCTTAATCAACACATTATTGTGGTTAATACTTCACTGTTAAGGATAATTCCTTACACTAGGAATTCTACTGAGTGCAGCACCAAGTAAAATGTTGACACAAACATCATCATAGTCATTGATCTATTAATGGCTTCACCTGAAATTTATGTAGTGTATTACCTTTGTGCTATCATTTACTGCAGTGCCAAACTGAGGTCATAAAAGCTCATGCTACTAAAAATTATATCATTAGATATTTGGTTATTTTTCCTTAATTCAATTTTAAACTGTATTCTGCATGAATATACCTGTTGGCAGACATGTTATGAGGAATACAAAATTATGATGAGAATACTCAATATGTGTTTTTTTGCTTTTGAGATGTAGATTATAAATATACTTTCCAGACTTTGTTAAGCATCAGGTTGAGAGAATAAAGGGAGAAGAAATAGGAACTGAACTCTATTGTGAGAAAACAAAAATGCAAATTTAGGCATTTGAAAATAAGAACTATGGAGCTACGTTGTGATCAGGTGCAAAATGACTTTAATGGAGGAAGAGATTCTATAGCTGCTGCTGCTGAAACTGATGGTTTTCATACCTGTTGATTTGCATTGTGGTGAAGTTTGAAAGCTATGATTAGAGATCTTTATTGTTCTTGGCAAACTTGAATACAAAGTTTGAATTACAATGGAATTTCTAGGAGTAGAATTTTGAACTTTCATGAGATTTTATTTTTTGAACTTGCTGTTCTCACACATGGATACATTTAATAGCTTTACACTGGCAAAGTGACAGGATTTTTTTCCTCCATCTCTGAAAGCTAATTCTCATTTCACATATGTATGCTTGAAGTAAAGTTATTGGGGTTTTTTTGCTGATCTTTTACTGGAGGTTAAACTTTCTGTTTTGTTTAGCTTTGTTGAGTAGCCTGGCTGTTAACTGTCAGCCTACAATTTATTTAATGGAGGTTGATATAATTTCTGTTACATAAAAAAACCCCAAACAACCAAACCACAACAACCAGGTTCTGTACTGAATATTTGCTTTTCTATCTGATATCTTTACTTTGAATCTCCATGTAATTTTCACTTGATATCTTTCCCCATCTATATGCTTTACAGGGTTTTTTCTCAGCCAATGTTTTTTAAAGCAAAGACTTGGAATTTTGGTCTCTATTGCGTGGACTAAGGTGTAAATAAATTAATGGTGATCTGCATCTCTATATTTTAAGTGCTTTGAAGGACTTGAATAGGAAGGTGTTATGACTTCCCTCTCTCTGAACATAATGGCTGTGCAAGGTATCTCCAGTGGGATACCTAAAGCTCTAGGGGTTTTTTTTGTCTCTTTAGGTATCTCAATTCCCCATATATCAAATAGCAATGATGACTGTCTTCTAGTGTTCAGGGAGTTATAGGAATGTTTGAGGAATCCTTCCCCTCTAGACAGGTGTCTGTGCTATGACACTGTTAGGTCTCAACCTGGTAACCTTTTGCCTGAACTGGGAAGATCCATCTATTGTAACTTTAGTTGGATATTTAATCATCTGATGCATCTATTTAACGGAGAAAAAAAAAAAAGAGCTTGTTTAATCCCATCCTAAGGTCAGTTTTTAACAGTTACTCTGTACAGCTGCTTTTTAGAGGTAATGGTAGATTGAACCTCACTGATTAACTCAGCCTAGACACCTATTTTTGAAATAACAAAAGTTAGATGAAAATGCCAGTTTGCACTTGCTTGAATTTGATTAATTTGGGGTTTGTTGCTTAAGTGCATCAATTAAGACTCATTGTTCTAACTATCTTTCATTTCTGCTTATTTCTTCTTACCCTGAAAAGTTTAACATGTATTCTTTCTTTTCTTCTCTTTTCCAGCACTGTGTGGAGGAGAGGAGAGTTTCTTGTGTGCCAGTGGGATCTGCATCCCAGGGAAACTGCAGTGTAATGGCTACAATGACTGTGATGATTGGAGTGATGAGGTCCATTGCAGTAAGTTTCTTAAACCTTGCAGTGTTCCGTTGAAGCACTGAATCCATTCAGGGAAACCTAAAAACTAAAGAAGGCTATTGGTACAGAATAGGAGCTTTGCATATTATTTGCATATATTGACATTTGGACTCTCAGTTGCCATTGAATGTGTTTACCTTTGCTCACTCTGGCCACAGCATGTGTTTTTGATCTATCAAATTTTATGCCTGGAAGCAGATTCTAAGATTTCTGCAAGGAGCCATGTGGAATTAGAAGTATTTTGGGGCATTTTCTTTTTTAATGGATCAATAACATCCATCAGAAGAGCACTTCTGATAATAAACTGAAGACTGTTAGTTGTATCTTTTTCCTAGTCCTTGGCATTTATTTTACAGCAGATGCAAAACCATCTTTTTAGAAATTTCTCTTGGCCTCAACCCTGGATGTGGTTTATTTAAATAAATCCCAGTACATGGTGCTATAGAAAAGAAAACTGAATATACATGCTTAATAACTTAATTTCTTATTTATTTCTCTGTGGTAGTGTGTATCTTTAGAGCGCCTGTGTGTTTTTCTGTGTTGACAAAAACATCCTTGGACTTCTAACACCTTTAGAAAACCTGAGCAAATGTACAGTAGGAAAACAATGAAAAGGAGAAAAAAAAAAAAGAAAAAAAAGGGAAATGTGGAACAATGACTAAATAGGGACTATAGTAGGACATGATGCCACAAAACAGTGCTGTGCATTCAGACTTTGGAAAATGTCAGACCTGGGGTTGAGTTCCAGACTGTGCAGTTAAACTCACCTCAAAATACTCGTTCTTGTTAGTGATTTAAGAGCCTGGCCATTCCAAGACTCACAAATCTACTTTTAAAGAAGTTGCCAATAGATTTTATCTGGGATACTCCAAGGAATAAATGATGACTGCAATTTCCTCCTGGTCTTAATATGAATGAGGCTAGAGCTTGCTTTTCCTTTAATAGCCTACAATTTATTTAATGGAGGTTGATATAATTTCTGTTACATAAAAAGTATTGTATTTTATCTTTGAATTTTTCCTGTCAGTGTTAACTTCATCTTTTAATGTAAGCTAAAAAATTGAAAAATGCCTATAAGACTGTGGCTCTCAAGTTCCATTAGAAATGGGAAAAGAAGAAATTATTAATATAAGAATAAAAATATTACGTCTTGAAAAAACAAGCATTATAAATTTCATGAGTTAAGATTACCTTTAAAAGAAAGCCTTCTGTTAAACGATACAGGGTTTATAGGCAGAGCATGTCTTTTATTAGGATACTTGGTAAGAGTTCGGGAGAGGAGGTGGAGGTCAAATAAGACCTTCTTGAATTACACAGCAGAAATAGCAAAACTGAAGGAGGACTTACTTGCCTGAAAGCTTGTCTGATAAAAGATGCTGTGTTTCCTGCAGTCCTTGCCCCTCTCAAATTCTTAAGTCACCTCATAGAATCACAGAATACTTTGGTTTGGAAGGGACCTCTAAGTTTCAGCACCCTCGGCATAAAGAATTTCTTCCTTCTATCTAGTCTGAATCTACCCTCTTTTAGTTTAAAGCCATTCCGCCTTGTTCTGTTGCAACAGGCCCTGCTAAAAAGCCTGCCGCCATCTTTTTTATAAGCCTCCTTAAGTATTGAAAGGCCACTCCTTCTCTAGGCTGAACAACCCCAACTCTCTCAGCCTTTCTTCAGAGGAGAGGTGTTCCATCCCCCTGATCATTTTCGTGGCCCTCCTCTGGACCCGCTCCAACAGGTTCATGTCTTTCCTGTACTGAGGACTCCAGAGCTGGACACAGTACTCCCGGTCGGGCC